GCCAAGGAATCTAGCTCAACTTACGTGAAGAACATCAATTTTTGTCTAAGTGTTTTAACCCTTTCAGGTAACCTACTTTGGAGGCTCGGCTCTCGCAATTGGCTTAATGGAATTTCGGAAACCAGAGCTTCTTTTAAAGATCAAGATACCCTTTTTAAGATGGCATGGATTTCATAACCAGACGAGGTCATTAAGGCCTTGTTTCAGGGTCTCCAAGTTGCTATCTCGAAGCTGGCAGATTGCCAGAATTTGGCTACGTCTGGGAGCATGGTCAGACAGGCCACTTAGGAGTTCCATTCACGACGGAGGGTTGAGAGTCGAATCTGAAGCTCCATAACCCACGACAATATGTTTCTTTGTATACAGAGACAAGGAATTGGTTGAAGGATTGTGCACCAGGAGGTCTTCGTTTGAGAGGCTTGAAGTTGGCATCGAGGGATGTCTCCTTACTTGTGCAGAAAGACAGAGTTTGTTCCATGTTTGGGCTGTTTTTAGTTTCCTTGTTTAAATTGATTTCCTTGTTGAATTGGGTTCACTGTTTGGCTTATTTAAACACTACGAAGCATTGTAATAGTTAGAGTATTATGGAATAAGATTGAAAAACTCTAAAACTAAGTCTCGTAGCTAGTTTTTGGTTGAGAGTTTGGCCGAGAAACCCAAACTTGAATTTGCTCTTGTATCGATCAAAAACCACCTTGATCGTGGGCGAGCTTCGACGCATATTTATTGAGCCTTCCTCCAGGTGTAGGATTGCACAAAAGTTCCATCTGTTTTCTTTCTGTTGTCCTTGGCAGCTTGGTTTCTTGGACGAGTTGCAGAGCTTGGTCGTCAAGCTCGATTTGTAACACCAACACCTTACTCAAGTGTTATCAAGTGGTAATCAGAGTCCGGTTTCAAACACAGTGGCCGGAAAAATGAAAAACGTGTCAGTGACTCTGCCTTGGACATGATCAAAGGGGCCCGTCGACAGGGACCCTGCTGTTTCACGTTCTAAAACGGAGAATACGTCTTAGTCCGAAACGGCGAAGCAAGTTGCAGGTCAAGTGATGGGCGAAGCAACCATCAACAATTTAGACCTTCTGCAGTCGATTGTGGCAACTTTCCATACCCAATTCGACCAAATCCAAAAGCAATTGGCGGATTTGAGCTCGATAGTTCAGGCCCTTGTTCCGTCAAGAGCTGCGGCAGAGCATGGCGGCAACCGCCAAATCCAGCTGGAAGTGCAAACCGGCAAGGCCAAACAGGAGTTGTTGGCGAGGGTACAGGAACTAGAACAAAGGCTAGCAGTGGCGGTGATTGATCACGATAAGGGACGAGCCGTTCGTGAATGACGCAAACCCAGGGAGGGACGACCGGAAACATAGACGGGAATCCCTCACGGGTTCAAGCTGACGATTTCATCCTTCCAGGGAACGTTGAGCGCTTCTACATACCTCAATTGGGAGCGGAAGGTCATCATTTTTCTCCAACGCGGCCAGTTTAACGAACAACAAAAGTTAGCAATGATCACCTATGAGTTCGCGGATTACGGAGCTCAATGGTGGGAACAACTACAAATTCATCGACGACAATATCTCCAACCTCCTGCGGCCACATGGGACGAGTTACGGGGGCTTATGAGGGAGAATTTTGTCCCTGCGTACTATCTACGTGAGCTGCACGAATCATTGCAAGGAATTAAACAGGGTGCACGAGGTGTTGAAGAATATTTCCGTGAATTAGAGCTGCTGTTACTACGAGCGGACGTTAGGGAGGACAGAGAAGCTACGATCGCTCGCTTCCTCCACGGATTGAGTCATGAAATTCGCCAGGAGGTATAATTAAGGGCATTTGTGGATTTAGATGAAGCAGTGCATATAGTGGTTAAGATCGAGAAACAGCAAAAGAGCATCGGGGAGGAGGTTTGCTAGGGAAAAATTGGCTAATGAGAACAATGTTGAGGCTGCCGCTCTTCCCCACAAACTGGAGGCACCCAAATTCGCGACACGAAACCCTCCCACGCTGAATTTGGAACGCTCATGAGTTTCTAGTGGCTCAATTCAGTGTTTTAAGTGCCACGGCCGGGGGCATAAAGCAAACCAGTGTCCAAACGTTAAAATGTTAGTCTTGCGGGACAGTGAGTATGTTTCAGACGACGAAGAACGCCAACAGAAGGTGGTTGAGGGATCGTCAGATGAGGCCGTCGATGAAGAAATTGAGGCTGAACGAGGTCCTTTCTTGTCTGGAATAAACCTTCACGCGCTAACATTGGACGCATAGGCAGAATAAGACCAGCGCACCAACCTTTTCCACACACGATGCGTAGTGGGAGGTAAGTGCTTGTCGGTAGTCGTCGATGGAGGCAGTTGTACAAATGTCATTAGCCACGACGATGTCAAACAACTGGGATTGGCAACAATTCAGCCTCCGGAGCCTTACAGTTTGCATTGGCTCAACGACTACGGGTCGATCAAAGTGACCAAACAAGCTCGTGTTGTGTTTGAAATCGGTTCCTACAAGGACGAACTGTTGTGTGATGTGGCACCAATGCAAGCTGCCCATCTCTTGTTGGGGCGGCCATGGCTGTTTGATTGGGCTGTGGTACACGATGGCGGTACTAATCGCTATCGACTCGGGCGCCATGGGAAACAAATTGTGTTAAAGCCTCTATCGCCATCTGAAGTGCGAGCTGACCAGCAGCGTCTGGCAGAGAATCGGGCCAAGCTTGACGAGAAGGCAGGCATGGAAAGGAAGAATGCAAGCCTAGCGCAAGACTGGTTCATGTTGACGCCATTGAGACGCGTTAATTAAGATGCGAAGAGAAGCTCGCACGAAGAACCCCTGTTTACGGTGGTTGGTGGGGCAGGGGAAGAGAGAGGGTGGATTGGGTGGAGCATCTGGGCAAGACCCAAGTACATCCAAAGTCACCGGCATGTTCGTTGATACATTGCGGACGTGTAGCGCTGCTCACCTGGACTCGTAATGCGACGAGCCGAGAGTACTCAATTCTCTGTTTCTGCCCCAAAACGCGCAAGAACTCGAGGTTGAGAAGTGGGAATCGGTTGGAACGAGCAGGGGCAATTTGGACAAAACGGCGACTACGGACAGCACCAGCAAGCTTCCACGAAGGTGTAGGAACAACCCAATCGATGCGGTAGTGGCGGAATAAAAAAATACCCAATTTTAAATTGGGGTCACCGGAAACTGGGTTGGTCTCACTGGATTTTGGGCAATTTGAATCCACTGGTGGCGAGAAACTCGCATCTCCGGCGTGGGCACGATCTTAGCCGAGTCGAGGCCAAGGAGCGGACGTAAATGATCCCTGGAAGTCTGGAGGACTATTTCCAGGTGGAAAATTGGATCAAAGAAGCTTCACGCAAAGGAACCCAAATTTGGGACCTTCGCCGGAATCTGGAATTGTCCGGCCGAAGGGGATGGTGAAACATACATCACATACATAACAAAACGTGTGCCTCCACCTTAAGTAGGCGGTGGGATGCGTCACACACATGATCGCACAAACTCATAAATTAACTAGCATAACTTGAAATTAACGACATAAACTAAAAGACCTCTACGGAGATTTTACCCCCTTTACACTCACATTACTATCCGTGGTTGATCCTCACGGTAATTCGATCTCCTTCATATGATGTTAAAATCCTTCCCTCGTTCTTATTCCTTATCGACGCATGAGCTGCTCCACGCATAACAGTTCAAGTTAGTGACTAGTGAATGGGATAAAGCCATTTCCTAATTCACTTCAACCTTATTTTGCATTCCAATGTGAAAAGCTTATCCTTATTCTTTATTGGTTTTACAGGATGCATGTCCATGCATACCCTACTCGCCCAAACATCTCATAATTAGCTAGCAACATCACCAGGCATGGATTTCCCTTAATCCCTTTCATATTCAGCACGTCATAATTATCAAATCCTATACAACATATATATATGGGTTAGACTGGCGTACGTCAGGTGTATACTATACGTCAAGTACTACTAGTGAGATATCTCTATCTAGATCATGAATTAAATCGAGTTTGGGGTATGATACTATACCCTAACCTCTAATGGATAAACCCTATGCACCGATTTCTAAACCCCAACCCGAAGTTTGAGTTAATGAAAACAAAAATTGACCGTTGAGATCGTCCGGAGCTCATCTAAGTACATCTAACTGTTAGATCACCTGTTGTATACTATACGCCTGACGTACACTAGTCATTACCATATATATAACAAAGGTATCTGTCCACACCAAGGGTTACCTTCCGATTGAATTGACGTTGTCGCCTACTTTCCTATACGACCTCATCCACCGAGGTAATTGCAGTCACTTCTCCATCCCGGCTTGCTGCCACTTCCAAGCATGGCTGGATCCTTGCAAAAATGAAACGAAACTTCACTCCACCATGCATCACTCTGGCCGCAGCTGCATACTGGATCTGGGTGCAATACACACGAATTCCCTTTTATGGATCACAACAAATGGAGAGCGTCTCCCCAATTAATAAGCCATTTCATAGCTCATATATCCCTTTGCTACCTGTTGTCATCAACTCTCCGTTGTATGTCATGGTAATTACGGCAGTGGAGCGAGCCATCAATCCTTGCCCGCGAGTCAGCTAGAAGACATCTGTTCTTGGTGCCCTTGCCAGCAGTAGCTCCTCGGATCTCAAGTCATCACCTCTGCCTGAACCACTGCCGCCGCCGACTTCCAGGATGATTTTCATCTCTCGTTCGAGGGCTTGGCTACATACTTTGTTCTCCTGCCGTGTTCCGAAACCCTAAAGTCGCCTCTCTCCCTTTTCATTTATAGTCCCCGCACGTATTCCTAAGGAGTAAGGCCTACCCTAACAAACCAGTTTAATCGATAACCACCAATTAGCAGCTAACTGAAAATCGATGGTTATTTATTTCGGTCGGTGGAATAAAGGTGGTTTTCGGCTAGCCAAGTAACCGAGAATGATTAACCGCGATTACCTGACTAACCGAAAATAACCGACCAGCCATCCTTTTAATAAAACACAGTTATTCACCATCAGTGAAAACGACCCCCTCCTCCGGCCAAACCCCAACCCTAATTCTTTCTTATTCATCCTCCTCCAAAGCCCCGCCAGTTATCCGAACCCTCCGATTCTCTGCCATCACCTCCGCCCTCCGCCATCCAAACCCCAGCCATCCTCCCCGACGACTCCGTCTCACCTCCCCACCCTCCCCGACGAATGGACACCGCGAGCCAGATTCTGACTTCGTCTCCTCTTCGATTCTGCTCCGACATCGCCATCTCCCATCCCCGTCGACCCCAGGCCTCCGTGCGTCACCCATCGCCATCCCCACCTTCCCTTCCCTACCCATTTTCGCCTCTCCTGCGCTGGGGATGTCACTGCTCCCTCCGCTCGCCTCCCGGCCCTGCCTCAACGTTCGCCTCTGCTTCTCCTCCGTGACCGCTGTTGTGCTTCTACTTCTCCTCCGTGACCGGTCGCTGTGGTGTGTAAACCTGAAATGAAGGAGGGAAGGAAAGAGAAGGAATGAGTGGTCTGGTGTGGTGGGTTGAAATGGAGGAAGGAAGGAGAGAGAATGTAGAAGTGGTCTGGTGGGTTTTTTTTGGAGGAACGAGATAAGGATTTAGTGGTGGGAGATTTTTCGTTTGTTTTTTTATAATTTTTTATGAATTTTTTTGGAGATAAGGGGGTGCTTTTCGAGTATGCGGCTAACCGAACCAAAATCGATAACCGACTAGTCGGTGGTTGGCTAGCCGTGGTGTCCCTCACGGTCGGTGGTCGGCAGCAGGAGGTGGTGACTCAGTTTAACCGATGACCGAGAACTCGGTTTTCAGTTAAACCGAAATCGACTGAATGACACCCCTATTAATAACGCTAGCCCATTTTATCTTGGACTCCTTTTAAATAATGCATACGACGTGATATGGGCACATTTCATTGGGGTAATTATCATAAACAGTCACACAACTTATTACTTAGTACAAAACGGTCACTAAAGTTTAATTTTGCACGTTTCAGTACAATACGTTTGGACGAATAATAAAGAGGTCATTTCGTTTATCTCCATCCAAAACTCTGTTAATTCAGTCCATTCAGCATGCCACGTCGCAAAGAAAAATTAATTAAAAAATTAATAAACCAAAACCTATTAACCCAACCGAACCACACTTTACCCACCCGAATAATATATTCTACTAGCATAAGCCCGCTCGCTGTCGCTTCGCGTGTGAGTAAGAACATGACATTTTAAAGATTAATAGTTTCAATTTTGATCAAAAAATAAAGGGCTTGTCATCTAGAATTTCATGTAGTCGACACAGCAATGAACTTTAATAAGCGATAAGGGTCGTCAAGCAATGATTTCTTTCAAGTTCATTCCAAACCAAAAAGAAAAAGACACATTAAAACGGATAAAACTCGCTCAAGACCAAAAATTTGGTAACATCATGTTTAACTCTCTTTGGTCGGGTTGAGCCGAGTTTGTAACAAATTTACAACCCACCCGACTAGACATATAAAAAATCATTTTAATTCCTCTCGCCAGCCATGCTGCTCAAGATAGGCGCTATAAAACTCACACCCGCCCGACAAATTAACAAACACTAAAGTGGATAAAACTCGCTCACTACCCAAAACTCGGTAACATCATGTTCAACCCTCTATGATATGGTTGAACAGAGTATGTAACAAATTCACAACCGACTTGCCCACCAGTTATAAAAGCGAATAAAACTCACTCCTTCTCGAAAGCTTGTAAACGGCGGGTTCAGGTCATTTTATCAAGTTAAATTAGGTTGGATACTGATAACGATGTAATTGCACGTATTTGCACCCCTAGTTCTTATCCGTTTGAGGGGCATAGTCGTGTATTTTTGGCCTATTTTACGCCGGGTTGTGCTATTTTGTCATATTTCAGGTCCCAGGCATCAAAGGAAAGGCTAAGCACGAGTTTCGGGGCATTCGGAAGTCATTTCGGTGAGCTGGAGCCAAAACACGGGCACACCTAAAACAGAACACGGCCGTGTTCTGTGACCGTGCTTTTACTGCCGAGAGCTAATTCGAGTTTGGACCACATTGGCCAAAACACGGGCAGGGCTGAGATAGAACACGGGCGTGCTTCACCAAAGCACGGGCGTGTTCTCCCAAAGCACGGGCGTGTTCTCCCAAAGCACGGGCGTGTTCTCCCAAAGCACGGCCGTGTTTGCACCAACACAATGGCCGTGTAATTAACCCTAGCCAAAGCACGGGCGGGCTGAGGCAAAGCACGGCCGTGCCCTCGACCGTGCTTTGGCCACTGATGCCTTTTTAAGCAGATTTTCAGCCAAACAGAAGGGGATTCGAGTTTTTGAGAGAGAGAACGATTCCTAGAGAGAGAAAGCGACGAACAAGAGTCTCCAAGTGCCCTAGATTGATCTTCAACACCATTGGAGGCCAGTTTGAGCTTGGAAAAGTGCCGATCAACATCCAGGAGCAGGAATCCATCCTTCACAATATGAATTCCGCGTCTGATCTGCTTTTGCTTCTTTCTCCATGGAGTAGTTCTCCCATTCATCTGGGTATGGAGAACCCTAGATTTGTATGTTAGGCTTTGATTGTATGAACCCAAGTACTGATTCTATGATTTGATTATATTCGATTGAGGTTTGAATGATTGAATGACTTGAATCCTGATCAAATTCCTGTTGTTTCTGCTTTAACCTAGAATGAGAATATCTGCCTAGGTTGACAGAGCATCCTTGATTGAAGGTAGGGAGTTGGTGACTTTAGTCGAGGAGCCAACTCACTATTCTGTACCGGATTTACTCCGGTAGTTGAGGTTTTGTTTGTTAGGGCCTCAATCTGTTTACTCCGGTGGAGGTTAGTCGCCCGCTAGAGATTCAGATTGAGAGGGTCTGAAGACCTTTAGTCGAGACTTCAGGCTGTTTGAGAACCTTCCGCAGTATAACTATCATAGAAATTGAACTTGGTAATTACAATCCGGCTTAACTGCAGTCTAGGGGGAACCATATCCAGGTGACCTCTCTTAACCTGAATACAACCGTTTACTTGCTTTGTTAGTTTGTTAGTTTAGACTTGCATTAAAGTTTCATTGCTAGATAACAAGAATTCACTGAGTAGTCATCAAATCTAGGACCCGGGTTGATAATTAAACCCAAACCCGCTATACTACGCTTTAGGAAGTGGTTTCACTTGGCCAATTCCTGGAGTGACAGTAGAAGTGAGTCAGATACCCATAGGGTTTGGGTTCTCAAACAAAAAGATAAAAAGATAAAAAAAAAAATACTAAAGCGGATAAAACTCGTTCCCCACCAAAAACTCTACACGCCAAGTTCAACTTGCTTTCATTCGTTCGAACTGACTTCTTAACAATCAGAGTCGGCTCAACATGCCAATTCTAAAAGCAGATAAAATTTGCTCTCAATACAAAACTCGTCAGCACCGAGATACTTCAATTGTCATTCTCAACGAAAAGGAAAATAAAATATATAACATTAAACAGACAAATCTCGCTCTCGATCCAAAACTCGTCAACACCATGTTCAGCTCGCTTTGATCGGGTCAAATTGAGTTTTTAAAATTCACACTCGATCCAAGATGCCAAGTACAACAGCGAAAAAATCGCTCTCGATACAAACCTTGTCAATACCAGGTTTGGGTTCAATTGTCATTCTCAATGAAATGAAAAATAGGAATTTAAAATTACTAAAGACGGGTTCCAATCGCTTTGACATGTCGAATTAGGTTGGATACCCATGAGTTTGGTTCAATTGTCATGCTTAACCAAAAGAAAAATAAAAGAGAAATAAGAAAAATACTAAAGAGTATAAAACTCGGACATGATACAAAACTCGGCAACATAGTGCATGTAATAGGGAACACAATGAACAATAGATGAAACCTTATGGACAATAGATGTAGACCCAACAGACAATAAATAAACACAAAGATTGCAGAATGGTAGAGTGGGGTAAAAGATAGAACTTGATACTTGACCACTTGCAAGGAGTAGTGTGAGAACCACTAATGAATAGCAACACCAAACCTTGGGTTTTATAACAAGGTGGTGATTTGGACGAAAGATCATAGACGAAAACGTAATAGATAATTGTTGCAATAGGGAACCCAATGAACAATGGATGAAACCTTATGGACAATAGATGTAGACCCAACAGACAATAAATTAACAAAAATGTTGTAGAATAGGAGAGTGGAGTAAAAGATAGAACTTGATACTTGCTCACTTTCAAAGAGGAGGGGGAGAGTCACTAATGAATAGTATCATTAAAAGTTGGCTTTTATATATTAATTAATTAATTAATAACTCAATCCAATAACAGATCTCAAATCTGATTCCCCTTCTCGCCGCCGGTGTAATACTCTTGGGGCTATTCGTCGTCATCATCACCATCATTGTTAGAATATGACTTGAATTTGATTTGGGTTTGTTTTGTGTTCGGGCCTATTTAGTTTGGGTTTGTGTTTGGGCTTTGTTTGACATTTTCCTTGTATGTTTGGAAAAAGGTGTTTGGTTTTCTGTTTGGGATTAGGAGAAGAGTTCTATAAATACTCTTTATCACCCTAGTCTGTAGTAAGGTCAGTCAAGTTAGTTTGTTTGGTTTGTCCGTTTGAAATTTGGTTTGTAACCTGTACTCTCCTCAAATTAGTGAAATTTGTCCCCCCTGCCCGTGGATTAGCTAGCCCACATTGTGTTAGTGAACCATGTTAAATTTGTGTTCGTTCGTGTTGGTTTGGATTATCGATTGCACGCTTCTGTTCTGACAAGAGGTATCAGAGCTCTGGTTGCGGTTTTGGGAATTCGGCGCTGAACTTAATTTTTGCTTTATGGATTTGAAGATCGAGAATTCAATTTGGAGTTGCAGGCTTGGAGTTAGCAGTAAATTTGATGTTGGTTTTATGGACGGAAATAACACCAAGCTGGTTCTGCATGGCAAGTCCCAGCATGGGTTGGACTTGCTGCATGTTTTGATTTGTTAACCGCCCTTAGGGGCATCTGGAGGTAAGGTAGATTCTAGTACAGCTGATTTGGAGGAGTTTGGTATGTCTGGCAATCTTGATTGCATCTGAGTTTGGCGATTTGCATCGCGTTTGAGTTTGGTGATTTCGATCACATCTGGTACATCTGGCAACTTTGGTTGCGTCTGGGTACATTTGGCAACTTTGGTTGCGTTTGGTACATCTGGTATTTGACAGAGAATTCAAGTCAATGTGGAGATTGTTAGAATATGACTTGAATTTAATTTGGGTTTGTTTTGTGTTTGGGCTTATTTAGTTTGGGTTTGTGTTTGGGCTTTGTTTGACCTTTTCTTGTATGTTTGGGAAAAGGTGTTTGGTTTTCTGTTTTGGATTAGGAGAAGAGTTCTATAAATACTCTTTATCACCCTAGTCTGTAGTAAGGTCAGTCAGGTTAGTTTGTTTGGTTTGTCCGTTTGAAATTTGGTTTGTAACCTGTACTCTCCTCAAATTAGTGAAATTTGTCCCCCTGCCCGTGGATTAGCTAGCACACATTGTGTTAGTGAACCACGTTAAATTTGTGTTCGTTCGTGTTGGTTTGGATTATCGATTGCACGCTTCTGTTCTGAAAATCAGAACCCAAGGAATCGAT